GGTCCTAATTACGATTCTTTAGAAGAAGTGTGGGGTTTAGGGGCTGTCATGTCTTTATTCAAATGTTAATGGATTGTGATTCTCAAGTAAATCTATGTTTTTTTTTAAGAATTCGCCCACTTCTAATAGTGCTCTAAATCTCTTAATGTGCAGTTGAGTACACATTTTTCCAACTGTTGTTTTTATTTTATTTTATTTTATTTAATCATATCATATTTTTTTAATCATATGAGACAAGACTAAATATATTCCAATGAGAACCGATAAGATTTAGGTTTACACACAAAATGTTTCTATCTCTCCCAAAATTATCGTCCTTTCTCAACTAATGTGATTTGACTGAATTTATTTTAAATTTAGTTATTTAGTTAATGGTATAAAATTATAAAATAAAATTCATACTCTAAAAATACATCAAATACTCTACAAAATAAGAGAAAATATAATTATGTTATTTTAAAAAATAATAAACAAAAAAAATAAAAGATAATTTGATTTGTACAAAGTACAATCCTTAACACACTCTCTCCATCTCAATTTAAATCTTCTATTTTGGTTTACGATAGTTGATTGAAGTTATTTTCAATGTAATTTATTAAAAGATTTGGAGCAAAATTAAAAAATAAACTTTATGTATTAAAACACTACATCGAAAGCTCCACAAAACAAGATGTGATATGTCTATATTACTTTTATGAAATGAGTAAACATATGAAAATAAAAAGAATAAAGTTTAATCCAGTGAATTGTAAATATTCAAATTAATTTGGGATAGAGGGAGAATTGGGGAGGAGTACTTTGAATATTAACATCTTTTGATATATTTATTCATATGGATCTTCTCATATAAATTTTTTTATATTTTATTAAAAAAAGATGCTTATTTAAGTACTAAGAAAATACTTATTTTATTCCATATGTAGATTAATGGTAGACCTTAGCTCTAACATAGAATTTGCCATATTTCATTTTTTTCACAGGCTATACTATATTTGAAGATAAATCTAAAATTGTTTTTATTGTGATCCTAAGGTCAACATGTAAAATATGAATCTTCTCATATATTTTTTATGGACTCATAATTGAGTCTCCTTATTATACTACACCCATTAAATAAAATAATTTTATGTGTGAAGATCTATGAAATTATATTAGCATGCACCCAAAAACCATAGAAAAAGTTTCCATAAGTCTAATGATATCAAAGTTAAATTTTTACTAAGTACACACTCCCCCCTCCCCCCTTCAATGTTTTTGTCCCGTTTTATATTGTACACCCTTTCATTTTTTAAAATGAATTTATCTTAATAGCGTTGTAACAATTTAAAATATAAGTTATATATTAAAAAGAAAACATGTGACAAGATTATACTCCGCATTATTTTAACAAATGCTCCCTCCGTCTTGAAATAAAGCTTTTGTTCGATTTACGATGTTTGATTAAATTATTTTTAAATCAATTTATGTAAAAATCAGTGGGAAATTAAAAAACTATATATTAAAATATTAAATCAAAATCTCTACAAAACAAGTGATGAAAAGATATTTTACTCTATTAAATGAACGATAAAAATATATATATAAAAGTAAAACTCATTTGACATGTAAATAATAACCAGAGTTCTATCTTGGAATAGAAGGAATACTACATAAAAAACATAAATAGAGAGTAACGTAGAAGACCAAATATGCTCACACCCCGATTTCCAAAGTTTTCAAGGGGCAACCCATAAAGTCCAAATTTATTATGAAAAAATCTCTAAGAATGGTACGATTTCACATTATTATTTCGAGATTTAATAAATGACATCAATATTTTCAAAAAATTTTGTGTACATTGTTGCTCTGAAAATTGATGTGTTTAAATCAGTACTTCAACATTTGGAGCACAAAAGTAAACATATACCAATTCTCAGTGCAAAAATGTGAATATATTACAATTTTAAGAAAAGAAATCTTCCTCAATAATATTTTGACCAACAATATCTCTTAAAATATATCAAGCAAATGTTGTTAAAACAATACATTAAACGTATTTATCGATATCAATAATTTAATATAACATTTACAATATATTTTAATTCATTATATATTTTTATATATAGCTAGTCAAAGGTTTGATAGGGAAAATGATTCAAACACCTAGAAAGAGTGGAGGGAGTGACCTATATTTTCTCATCATTAATTGGATGGATGACTACACAACTAAATTTTCATGGCTCAATGACCATAAGAATGTCACTTAATAATTTTCAAGGATATATAAAACAAAATGCAAAAACACAGAGTAGAAGAAGTAGATCGATCATGATGATGATGATGGCAAAAAATGTTAGTATGTGAGGTTCTCTCTCTCTCATTCATTCCTCTGCAGAATTGGTGATGATGGATGCTGCTGCTTCTTGACCATTGGATTCAGCTGAAGTGTCTGCAAACTCATCTCTGTACATTTCCTCAATCATAGGCTTCCATAGTCGAACTCGAACATTTATAAACCAGTTTGACACCTTAAACATCATCATCATCATCATCATTCACTCATTGATACCCATAAATCCTCATCACTAAAAAGATTCAAAATTCAAACCCAAAACTTGAAGAACAAGAAGAAGAAAAACCCATATCCATAAGAGTGCAGATTACCTGATTCTTTGTCAAACCTGTCTGCGACGCCAACATAAGCTTCTCTGAATCACTCGGATACCTACAAAAGAAAACAAGCCATTTCTCAGTTAGAAGACAAAACAAAACAAGAAGAAGAACAGAAACAAAAACGAATATTTACGGGTTAAGGAAGTGTTCGAAAAGCCAAGTGCGAAGAATGGCGACAGAAGTCTCTGGGAGGCCTCTGATTGGTCTCCATGCCTGCCTGGAGCTCTGTATAATCCCAAGCTGTTGAAGAAACATCTCATGAGTTTTGTCCTCGCCTTTTCGGAAATCACGAGCCATCTCTCCTTGTGATGATACTTCTCCCATTGTGTTCTTTATCTGGGACAATATGGCTTCCCTTAAGTTGCAGAAGTGTTTCGCCATGGCTTGAAGAGCGAGCGCAGTGTATGAGTTTCCTGCACCCACTCCAGCCATTGCTTCAAATGAACACACCATCTCTCCCATTTCATGATAGTACTTCTCAAATTTCGTTTCCACCTGAAAATTTTTACTCAAACTTGCCACATGAAGAAATAGAAAAACCCAAGAATATTCCATGTATTTCATTAGTTACGGATTTACCTCTTCAAGCAGAGAAATCAGCTCCATGGTTTTAGCATTGTTCTTGAACTCTGCGCGGAGAAGAGAACGGAGCAGCAAAGATCCTTTCTTGCCGTGGCGTGATAATCTCTTGATGTGTTTCTCACGGCCGCCGGAATCTGGAGCCTTTCCTGCAAGACTGACCATTTCTTCAAGAAGCAACTGGGCCGGTCTCAAGTATTTGGAGTGACTGAGGGGAGATTCATCGCCAGTTCCATAAAAGTTGGAAACTGGGGTTCGGGAGGAAGAGAAAACCCCCATTCCCGGCCTACGGTACTGGTCTAAGGGAAGCTGTGAAAGCTTCTGGGCTCTGAGCTGATCATCCATCAGATGTCTGGTTTGATTGACTTGAAGGGGAGACTGATCATATGCCGCATTAATAGTGCTGCTTAGACCGAGTGGTTGGCTAGTCATGGAGTATGAAGTGATGAACTGTTGAAGAATACTTGGTTCTTGATGTGAAGCATGAGAAACCATTGTTGGAAGAAGAAATTAGTTTCAGGGCTATGAAAAAGATTCGATTTTTATCAAGAATCAACAGCAAGGTGATGATGAACTCAGTCAAAAACCCTTAAAAAATTTCTTGGAAAACTAGGGAGCAGAGGATGGGCATAGTATTGACGGGGGAGTGAGAGAGTCTATCTATAAAAGCCTGCCTGCATTTATTAAATTTTGAACAAATATACCTCGACTTCATATTCAGCTTATTCAAGATTCAAGAGGGAAATAAAAGATTCCTCTTTCTACTTTTATTTTTTAATTATTTATTTTCCCCCCTATATTTCCCATAACCTATATGAGCAGCAGAAGGCTATGGAGCCTAAGAAGGAGAGGAAAAGCTGAAATGAGCATGAAATTTATGGTCCCCCCCCCTACACCCTCCCTCAGCTTTAAATGCTATACCAATTACACATCTTTGGGACACTCAAAAAGCACTTTCAGGCTTCAGCTCTATCTACTGTCAACCCACAGTAGAAAGAAGGTAAATGAAGCAGAGAAGTTAACATAAATGTGGCACTTCTGTGTTGCAGAAGGGGGTCTCTGCCACTTGGGAGTGGAAGAAAAGAAATTGAAGAAAAAGTGGTCTATTTTTCAGCAAACATAGATTTGTTTAAATTTTTATTTCAGAGGTTGTCTGCTTTTGAATATGTAATTTTAGATTGTCTGCTTCGGAACCTGTAAACATGTTAGAAAGAAATCCAGCATTTTTTTTCGCTAGCTGATTGACTTTGAAAGGACACTTCATGAACAAACCATCAATAGACACTCCACAAACTTCAATCTTTTGAAGGACTTCCACACTATAAAAAAATTTGTTGATTTTTTCCTTCTTGATGGTTTATTGTTAACAGGGTGTTGAAAAAATCAAATTACTTATGATCCGAAATGACGTTCTCATACGCACAAAGAGAGCATTATATGCGGCGGTCCCATCTAACGCGAACGACATGGATTATTAGTCGTCTCAACATATGGAAATGGTAATTAATGATAAACAGCTTTGTTCTATTAGGCCTTCCAGTTGTCACTCTCTACTTCTGATTGAGAGCTGGCAGATGAAGGATGTAAAAAAAATTCACCTTTTTTACCTTAGGCATGATTCTTGCAGCAAGAAGTAGATTTCAACATTTAAAGAAGATTTCTTTGTGAATATACATATCAGATAGATGGGTTCAGAAGTTGTAACATGCAAGAAGATACTGACAAACTCATAAATTGCACCCACTGCAGAAAAATATGTGTGCCATATTTGTAGAAAGAAATTTAGAAAAAAAAGGTTCAAACTTTTCTGCAAAAAAAATATATCAAATCTTTCATTGCCAAACAGTCAAACAGAATATGCCACAGTAGTGTTTCACTTAAAAACTAAGCTACCCTTATGCAAAGAAATTAAGTCTGTTAGTACAAGTCAATAATAAGCTGCAACAATGCCTCTTCCATCACCAGCTCAGCTGAAGGGTCAATAATATCATGATGAAAAAAACAAGAATCAAGTTCATCTTTGTACCACCTTAATTGCCAGCTGGTATATGTTCTGGTGAAATGGTGGAGCCCGCTTCGGCATCGCCAACCTCCTCCTTGTACATCTCCTCAATCATGGGCTTCCAAAGACGCACCCGTGCATTTATGAACCAGTTCGCCACCTGATCCAAAATATACCCTTCATTAAACATTGCCCAATGGAAGTCATGCCAATCTATTACTGTGATTCCACCTAATGTGTTCAAAGATTTGTACCTGACTTCTTGTTAAACCCGTTTGTCTCGCAAGTGTGATTTTCTCGGTCTCTTTTGGGTATCTGAAGAATACACAAGTAACACTGAGGATCAAAATGAAACACGAGAAATTATTATTATTATCATACGCATAATAATAATAAGAAAAACATACGGATGGAGGAAATGTTCAAAGAGCCAAGCGCGAAGGATAGAAACGGCATTCTCAGGCAAGCCTCTAAGAGGTCTCCAAGGTTGTCTCATCACTCCAAACTGCTGAAGTAATCTCTGTTGCCTCAGCTTCTGATCCACTTGACGCAACCGATATAACCTTTCTCCTTGTTGGATATTATTATTGTTATCGCCGCTTCCTTTTCCCTCCCCTAAGCTTTCTTGGGTGGCCTTAATCTGCTTCTTTATGGCATCACAAATGCAACGGAATTGGTGGGAAATGGTTTTGAGGGCCAGCGATGTGTATGGTCTAGCAGCACCTGCCCCGGCAACCACCTCAAACGATGATACTAAAAGTTGCATGTGCTCATGATATTGCTTGTAGGATACATCCACCTATAGGTACAAAAACAAGTATTATTATGAGAACAGAAAAAAGTTCAGTTTACTGGCTTTTAAAACAAAGAAAATATGAACATTTAACCCACCTTATCCAATAAAGAAAAGAGTTTAGTCATCTTGCTCTCCAGATCATATCTTTCAACAGATGAAATGTCAGTTGAACAGCTGGAGGACTTCAGAAAATCATCAGGTTCTTCGATTTGTACAGATGAACAGAAAAGACTGAGGGGGTCCAAATTCTTGTTAGATGATTGAACATTGACAACTTCGTCGAGTAAATCCTGTGCAGCCTTCAGATATTTTGAATCATAAATGTGAATTCCTCCATGTATATGTGCATTGCTAAAACCCATCTCTCTGAGGCCCATGGAAGAGCTCTCAATGTCTCCAGATTTAACACTGCTGTGAGCTCCACCAGCCAAATCAAATGAGAAATACTCAACATTCTTGTTCCCATTGAAGTGTGAGGAGGCCTGATCCGAATGCATAGTGTGGGGAGTCAAGAAAGACGAGAGACCTGCAGGGGTGTTCCCGTACTCGTCATCGCAATATGATGGAACTTGCATGGCCAAGCTGAGGGACAGTTGCCCCTTTTTATACTGCAGATTTTGTTCAATATCAAACTCTGGCGTGACGACATTCAGAAGATCAGAGCTGTGATTCGGCAAGGAACTCTGAGATAAATCCGGGTACGAAAGATGATGGTTGTTCATAAACATCATGGGTGGAAGAGGTGAAGATTGGAGTGTGTGTTTTTGATCTGGCAACAGTGGCAGAGCTGCATCTCTTTGGTTGGTTGTCAAGCCTGATGATGAATAATAAGTTTCCATCTCTAACTTATTCACACAACAAATTTCAATCTTTCCCTATAAGTGGAGTGATGATCCTGTAGAAGGGAATTAAGGAGTCAGCCTATCAAGTTATACCCATCATCATAAAAAGAAACACAAGATTTGCTAACGAACATACAATGTGTCCAGTTTTCAAAAGATTAACTCTTTTATTAGGCAAAACTCATCCCAGAAGGAACACAATCTTTGCCTCACACATATGAATATGCATTAGACTTAAATCAAGCAGAAAATCAAAGTGTAAGTGGTCACTCCAAAGTAAAGGTAAGAACTTGCATTGCAGCTGTCCTTCACAGACAGCAATATATAACATCACAGTAATTTTTTTCACAAAAATGGTACCAAAGTAAAACTACCAGAACACCCATAGCTCTGAAACATCATCACCTTCAAGAAACAGAGGTTCCCAGAAGTAAATAAAAACCACATGTTAAAGAAAAACGAAGCCGGGATTGAAAAGATTACCTGAAAAGATTTGTCCTTTAAGATGTGCCTTCAAAAAAAAAGTGATTGAAAGCACAAACTCATCTGCAACAATTTAAAGCAGAAGCTTAATCCATTTAGTGGCAAAACTGATCCCAAAACTTCCAAAGAAAACAGCCAACTCTTCCTTATAAGCATTCAACGGTGAGCAAGAAATTACTGATATTAACAATAGTAATGAAATTACTGATATTTAAAGATAGTGAACAAGAAATAATAATAAGAATCAAAGTGTAAACCTTGCATTCCATTCTTGAATATTTAAAGTATTATTATATTCTAAGCTAATAGGCATTTCAAACTTTCTTTCCTCAAGTGGGGTCCAGGGGGAGACCCAAAATAACAAACAAAGCCTACAAGCGCACAAATTTCGTTTCTTCTTTCTTTAAAAAGTGAAGAAGATAAAGAAAGAATAATAAGAAATGAACAATCAAGAAAGGGGTAAATTGGGCAAGAGGTTTGGTGGTTTGTTTGTTCTCCCTCTTTTTTTCCTTTATTTTTTTCTTCCCTTTTTCCTTTTTTATGNGGGGGGGTGGCTGTTGTGGTTTGGGGTCTGAATCTGCAACCACCAGTTGGTATACCTAAAAAACTAAGCAACATATTTAAGCCTCTCTTATGTATAATCCTTTGAATGAAGACTAAGAGATGATTTATATTATATGGCTACTAACTATGAGCAAGCCTTCAAACAGATTTTTTTAAAGGTAAATTACTAATTAGAACAAAAATGTCCGTGTGAGAACTACTGAAACAAAGTAACCTGATTTTATGATATTAAAAAGTTGTTTTCTTTAAAAACAAGTTCTAGTATTAAGTAAAGATAGATCACCATTTTTTAAAATAGGTAGGGGTTTTTTTAAAAAAATAATAACAATTCATTAAGTTTAACTTCTCCTTTGAAATATTCACAAAAAGATATCTTCAGTTTGAATTATTATTTTCATTGAATCCCTTCTCTTCAAAACCTCTTGAATTCGAAGACTGATTTTTAAAATGAATTATTAAAAAAAACTTATTTTTTAAAAAGAATTTAAAAGAAGAATAATTCTTTATTATATCTTAAATTCATGTTATTGAATCACATTAATTATGTGCACTAGAGGTAAGTGGCAAAATAACATCATGATATATTGATTAGAACTTAGAAGTATATATAAATGATAAATGATGATGACAGTCAAATCCATAGGGAGTTGAAACATAGAGGTAACAAAATCCCCCAATGTTTCCATACTTTTGACCTATTTATACCATTGCCGGACACCAAAGCTTTTGAGGTTCATATTTCATGAGAACCATAACTTTAATGCGCGTTGACTTTATACATAGTTTAGGATTCCACATGGATGATTTTTCCCATGAAAAGTCAGAGCCAGGAGAGAAATTACCACATAAGTTGAAAAGGTAAGAAAAAAAGTCAAAGAGTGGGGAAGGAAAATCTTCTCCGGCGCTTTGGGGAGCAAAATCACGGCGGTACGAATGCAGTGTTGATCAGAGAAAGACTGTTTTGCCCCCGAACCATGCGGCATGGGAGACCAAAACAATGCTCTCATCTGCAGCAGCCAGTCCATCAACGGCGGCAACGAATACTTCTTTCTTTTGTTTTTGCTCTCTTTTACTGCAGGTCATGGATGATCACCATCCTCCTCTGATTCAAGTGGCCTCCCAAATTTTCTGAGTGCAAGAGAATATACGGCTTTTCTTTTCATAGACTTGCCTGTTGCCACCATCTTCACTGCCTGCCCATCACCCATCACATAATTGTTAACTACATTCAACCTTCAAATCAATACAAGAAAACACTTTTGATTTAAAGCATTGAGAATTCAGCTCAAATGTGAGTGGATCTATAATTCGATATTTCACAAGGTGCTCACAAAAATGACCTCTAAACAAAAAATATTATGAAACATTTACATGGTGTAAATAATATTTTTAAAAATTGAAACTTTATTCACATGATCAATGGAGATACTCAGATACCGTTGAGAGAGTGTGCCCTTGCGATATCAGCTCTTTCAAATCACTTTCCAGTTCTGACTCAGATGGAGCATCATCTGTACTCGGCGGTTTTCCTTCAAGCAAGAAGGTGATTTCCCCCTTAGGTTGATGTGTTGAGAATGCTTCTTTGGCTTGGCCTATAGTGCCACGCCAGAACTGATAGATTCAATGAAGACAACCTCTCAGAATATGACTAAATCTTACTAGAAGAAGCTGTTTTTGTAAATAGGTAGGAATTCACTATTTGGGGGTGTGCGAAACCGCACCTCCTCATATAATTTAGTCATTTCTCGTGCTATTACACACTGCCTGCGAGAAAGCTTAAAACTTTAAGTTGTACAAATGGTTTTACACACAAATGTGATTGAACGAACCGTGCATATCTTACCTAGAATCGCCAAATGCGGAAGAAGTCTCCTCAAGAAAATGGCAAAGCTTGTGAGGTGGAACATAGAAAATCTGAGTTGTCGCCTCATTTGCAGAAACAATGAGCCTCTCTCTCCTAGAACCAGCATGTTTTGGGAGAAATCCAACTGCATATAAATTTTTGAAAAGAAATCAAATGTCATAATAACCACACTACTAAAGTTTACCACGGTAACTAAGGCTACACGTGTTTGCCTGTCATCAACAATACCAAATGTGAACTCATTAGTGGGTAAGCCAGATGCCGATAGCGCAGTTATGAGGGCAGAAGGACCAGGGATAGGAATCACAGGTATATTCATCTTCACACATAATTTTGCCTGCATAACAAAAATAAACCATGGCATGCCTTTATGAACTTGGAACTTAAAACAATCGCCCATTAATATTTATGATTTAAAAAAATATATGATAATGCCAATTTTCTCATTGGAGAAAAGAAAAGCTCACCAATTCTGCACCGGGATCACTGATGCCCGGAGTTCCTGCATCACTGATCAACGCCACAATTTGACCCTCCTTCAGTCTTGTTAACACAGCCTGCTCCCTCTGAGATTCATTGAATTTGTGATAGCTGAGCTGAAAGTCTAAAGCTTAGCATAAAAAATTCTCTATGTTCACAGACATGAATCAATCAATGCACACAAGAGAAGAAAGAGCAGTGATGTCACTCACAAGAGGAGTCTTAATATTGTAATGTTGCAGCAACTTCCCCGAATGCCTGGTGTCCTCAGAGAGTATCACATTTGCAGAATTTAAGACTCTTAAAGCTCTGAAATGATCAATAAGTTCTTTACAAATACAGAAACAATGATGATGATGAACATTGAACATTTTGGTAATATAAAAAACAAATCTTTATGATCAGTAGAAAAAGATTACAAAAATAAATGGCCCAGGTGATCTTACCTCAGAGTAATGTCTTCAAGATTCCCAATAGGTGTCCCCACCAGATATAATCCTGGCTTCAAGGGTTTCTAAAAGAATTTGGGGGGGGGGGGGATTTCTCAATTTCGATCACGGTAAACAGGAAAATATGAAGATATATATAAATTCACAAAATAAAATCGGGTTGCAAATGAGAGGATGATTGGAATCATCAATCTTACTTGCTTTGACTCGGTGGAGGACTCGGTGGAGTAAAGGGCGAGACTGACGACGGAGTTTGAGGCAGTGCAAATAGTTGAAGGTCGGTTGACGGAAGCTAGAAATCTTGCAATTAATGGAAAGTGGCATCGAGAGCGTTGCCTGGGAAAGGCGACGGCCGGCGTGGCGGCGGCGGCGGCGGTTGAGGTCACCATTGAGAAGCCACGGATAAGCATCCTCTTCCTCCTCTTTAGGAGATGGCGCGGGATCTAACGTCCATGTAGACAATAAGAATTTGACCCAGAATTAATATTTTCTTCTCAACATTAATTTTACTCCTCCTATCACTTTAAAAATACAAGTTTTTCTTTTTTTTTTTTGCTCATTAAAAAAAACTTTTAAAATATAAATTTTGTGCTAGAAACATGTCACTTTTTTCAATTCGTCTAATCAATTATAATCTCATATGCCAAAGATTTTGTAATCCAACAGCACTATAGTAACTTCCTCACATGAGAGGTCACGTGTTCGATCGCTAATGAGAGTAATAACTAAATGTGTTTAATGAATCGAAAATGTATTAACAGATACTAGATTATAATAGATTTATTAGTACTCAAAAAAATTATATTCTCTTATCTTAATTAATTATAACACTTTTTTTATTTTTAATATTTTTCTTAAATTTTATAGAAAGAGTGCTAATACTCAAATATCTATGGAAATTGGCAAACAAGTTTCCTCATTTTTGGAGTTTTTTTTTTACTTTTTTTTTCCTTATCATTTATTCAATATATGTTTTAGTTAAAACATTTTGCAATAAAAAATATGAAACATTTCACTTTGGCATAGATAAAAAGTAAAAAGTAAAAATCTTGACCTGATAATCTACCGAGATTAAAATTATACTAGATTTGTAGGTTGTTAGTTATTATCGTTATTCAATAATGTTGTGCAGTACTCTAAGTTCCGAATTAATAGTCCTCTTTTTTTTCGAAACATTTCAAAAATAATAATCTTTTTTTCACTTTGTGAAAAAATTATAGCAGCAAAATTTTTTTCTTTCTAAATCACTTTCAACCACATAATTTTATTTTTTCTTAAATTTCATACCGAACCAAATGTAAACCATTAATTTGAAACAGATGGAGTAAGATTTTAAAGAAAAGATGGATAATGATAATTTTCCTAGTTCCCAAACAGGCACTGATTTGTGATTGATCACTTGAAACTAAAGTATGTCATAAACCCACGGAAAGTACACAACAGAAATGAGAATGAATGAAAATGGGGGGAGATGGATAAGATTAAAACCAGTCAGTATAACACTATACAAAGAGTACAACCAATACAATCCACCTTACGGCAGCTTCTGGGGAGGAGAATGTTTGTCGAATTGCTTCTGTTCGGGGGGTGGGTGGGTGGGCGGGTGGGGGATATATAGGAAAAAAGGGCGTATCAATCTCTTGGGGTTCCTTACACTTTGTCATCATGGAACCACCACCTCGTCTCCTTGGGTGACCTCTTGCTGTTGTTCTTCACGTAACGATCATTGTCTTCTGGGCGTTTCTGCAGATCAAGAAAAAAAAACAGAGTCCAGTATTGAAGTGTGCAATGCATGAAGTAGCCATTTGGTCATCTTGATTAGAGCCATAACCATACCTTTTCAGTTGAGCTTGATAACATGGAGAGAATGCTAATACAGATGGAACTGACAGTCATTGCTGGGGACCAAGAGTCATAAAGAATATCTGCATCATAAACCGTTCATCTAATTAATTAATTAATTAAAACTCATAGAAACACACCGGATAAATAAATATCAACCTTTATTAAAAACCAGCTCGTCAAAGAAGAACAAACTACGAGTCACAAGTCATAAGATAATAGATATGAAATCAGCTAGCCTACTTGACCAAGGCTTCTGCTCTTATTATTTCCATATTTAGCTTTCATTTTAGTTCAAGATTGAAACTTTTGATTCAGGTGTCCCCAGAAATAGAATGATTCACCGTGAAATCTGTTCTCTTTGTTATTTTTGATGTTTGTGGACATTGGTTTGCTGTCTGTTAAGGAAGTAATGATCGACTAGTAGAAATGAAAGCAGCGAGTAGAAATTAATGGTGAACCTGGTAAGACCATTTTTACCACAATCTAAGAGCTCCTCATTAAGGGCAATTCAATAGCACATAATCCCATATAAGTCTCAAATGAGCACACTGACGCACTATCATCCATTCATCCCTCTCACTGAAAGCACATTTTGTGTCCAGTAGAGATACCATAAAAGGAAGATGATTAATCGGGCTGCCAAATATGCTTTCCACAACACCACTACCTCATTACACAAGAATGCCATACATCATCAACTCAAGTTAATAAATATCCGAACAGTTCAGCTAATAGAACAACATAATATAAGGTGCATATAGTTTATTTTTTCGCTGATTCAGATGATCAAAATCAACTAGGAACAGTAGTTAATGTGTGTGTTTAAGATTCTGGCTAGGTTCATTCTGCTCACATGAATATGATTTTCAAAAGCAATATCCTTGATTCTCTTCATTCAAGCAGTCGATTCTGAATGGGTCTAACTTCTAATAATCAAAATCGGCCAAAAGCATAAGCCAAATCACATGCCCCCGTGTCAGAGAGGCATGCCAAGGAGACTCATGACAATGCCACACGATGCCATCTTTTGAAGTCTGTTCTGTTGTCTTCTCTCTCACCGTAGTCCCCTTTATGTGCTTCTACACTGTCTACTACAGGCTTTCAGCCAATATGCGTGCCAACTGCCAATGGTGCCATACTGCCATATTCTCTATTTTAACAACTGATTAAGGTTGTCTTTATAATATACTCCCCCAGTCCCAAAAAAAGAGTCCTTATTCTTTAAGCGACGGTGTTTTACGGGATAAGTAGAGTATTTTGTCATTTTTACTTTGTTGTTATGTTCGTCTTGCTCTCTGCAACTTTGTACTCTCGTGGTACAGTTTGTATCTCCTCCAAACAAGAGAGTGTTAGTGTTGTTCCGTGTTCTATGAGCATGGAAGCTCATCTGCTGGCTTCCACTTGTTTTCTATGTTGAACACACCAATATTTGTAATATTTGTTGCAATGATTTATTGAAGCTAATCCTTTGAATGTAAAATCCTACATCAATTCTACTTTACATGCCTTATTGTGCAACCCATTATCTAAGTATATGACCACCCAAATGTGGGATGGCATACGTGGGGATATCCAAAAAAAATGTAACTGTCATCATCAAACAAAATACACCTTGATTGAATCACATCATCAGACAGCACATCAATCTTGTCAGGACAATGACAAGGATCTACACCCGTTTCTTGACAACTTTCACTGGTCACTTTATGTATTTTTGTTCTAAAAGCAATTGTATAAGCTTGATATGTGTATAATCATATTAAAGTATTAAACGATAAGATTCCAAGAAATCAAGAAGAGACAAAGAAAGAGGCACATGAGAAGAAAGAAAGAAAAGTGGATCTTATGTATGAGAAATAAAACAGAAAGAGAAGGGGAATAAATTTTATTGCTGAAAAGACAAAAAAAAGGCATTTTATGAGAATAACAATATGCTAGAGGAAAGGGTACAGATGGGAACAGAAAAACATCTATTCTTTGCAGCCTTGGAAAGAAACTAAAAAGTGGTATGGTCTAAAAGTATTTTTCTTTCCTCTCAAATTCTCTCCCGAGCAAGCGCAACCAATAGTCTTTCTTTCACTACTCTCTTTTTCTCACAAAACAAAGAGCAAGAAAACAAAATATGTATGTGGTACACAGATATTGAACATGACATATGTAATGTTTGACACTATATATCTTACTACTTCTATCCCAGGGTATTTTTCTCGTTTTGACTTTTTATTTAGAGTCAAAATTGATAAACTTCGACCAAAAACTAAATACAATTTATATTATATATTGATACAAGAATAATTTTATTAGATATATCTTGTACAATATTTTCAAAATATTATTTAATCTAATTAATTACTCCGTATTATTTAACAAATACTATGGAGTGGTGGGAGTAGTAAAGTTTGTCTGATTGCCTTAAACCCTAACCACCCTACAATGACTCATAGACATGTTGGGAAGGAGCAGGAAAAAATTTAGTAATGGTGACGGATGGCATTGAAGGAAGAAGGTATGAAGTGTGCATAAGCAAATCCTCTTTCGCATTGCGAAGACATATATATATAAGAACAATTAGTGTAAAAAAATTAAAAATTAAAGGAAGTACTAAAAGACACGCCATAAAGGCAGTACACAATGTATGTTCAAGATAATGTTCATGTCAATAAAAGGCAAAGATGGAGCACATGATAGTGAAACTAACCTAAACAGATATGTCCATTGCTATAAATGTGAGGATGAAGCGGAGCCGGATGGAGAAAAATAACCTGCACATGTTTATAGAAACACAATAATACGGAGCGGTAGGTTAGTATACCAACAGAAAAACCTTTGGACACATAAATAAAAGCAGTAGCCATGTAGCGCGTTAGTGGACCGCCGGATTATTTTAGCTGGATCAAATTTTTCAGGACCCTCCAGAATGTAAAATGTTTAATAAACAATCTAGTAGCTGCTACATAAGTCATATGGGAAGTTTAAAGAAGTTTTTCAGAACACTGTTTGGGTCTTAACTACAGAGAGCAATCAGAAGAAGAACAAACAAATGAAACTATAGGAGACTCCAAAACTTATGATGCCCTAATTAGGATGGGCAATACCTGAGGAGCCTCCATAGGGTAATTTTCTGGGAAATCAACCTGAAGCGTATATGTCTCGTTAGCATACAAAGTCCCTGGTGCTCCGGCGACTTCAATCTCCCATCTATATACGGGGAAACCCCAAATTGATTAAATTCAGAAAAAGAAGATCAGGAAATCCACAACGAAGAACGAATCTTAAATCCGGTCTTCACCTTTGGAGATTATCAGTGACTTTGTGTTTAAATCCGGTGAGGGGATTCGACTGCCATTCCCTCAGCTCCTTCTGCAGCCGACTGGTTGCGATCTTGCTCAAAGCCTGAATCACATTTCAAGATCGATAGTCATCGTCAATACAAGCACAAACATCAACAAAAGAACCTAAAAAGAAAAAAACATTTATATGCACGCCGATGTGATTGTGACCCGGACACAAACCTTGCGAGACGAAGTTCCAGTGGTAGTCATGGCGTCTGGAGTCTAGAGAGAGAGCCGATGGAAATTGGAAAGAAACGTTTATATTGGCACTCGCTTTCTTCTTCTTCTTTTTCGTTCTTTCTTCTTCTTCTTCTTCGTCTTCTTTGGGAATTTTGGATTGTGGGAAATCCGAAACTTGCGATGCAAAACAAAGGGATATTCAGACGCAGGGTGATCAGGTCAGTTCTTATATAGATCGACGGTCAGGAATTACTTTTGGTGCGCTAACGTGGGGGCTTAACTGCCACGTCGCCACCATTTTGGGTCATTCACTTCCCACATTGAAATTATTTGTAAATGAATCGAATAATTTTGATTCTGATTCATATTCATTTGTACTGAAT